TTCAGGCATTAGAAGTGGTGGAACCAGCATAGCCCAAGAGGCTGCTTTAGCAGCACTGGCAGAGGTGTTTGGTTAGTACCATAGGACTAGGATGTCAATCAAAAAGGGGGCGGGGAATCTTGAACACTCTGAAGATGGTACACATAGTTCCAAGCCGGCATCTCATTCAACTACTAGCATCAGGTACACCTGCATGGCCTCAGAGATAGTACATTAGATTCCTTCAGACTGTTTTCTAAACAAAGTTGTAGATACTGAAAACAAGATGTTTTGGGCAATGTTGTAATCTTGCAATAACATGAAATAGACTAAAAGAAGTGTTGCATAGAGTCACATAAATCCATATTCAGTTTCCCCCATTAACTGCCAGTTATCTGATTATAAATACAGCATTGTCTTGGACCACAGTGGTTGAAAATGATACTTTTTAATTTTGTGGACTGGGACAGAGGATGAACGTGGTCTGAGGCAATGGGTAACGCTTAATGGGTCTCAGCTCATAATGAAAACTCTAAGCATGCTACTATTTCAGATTAATCCAGCTTTTCCCAACCCACTGCCCTTTAGATGAGGCTGATGGAGGTAAAGGTAAAGGGACTCCTGACCGTTAGGTCCAGTCGTGGACGACTCTGGGGTTACGGTGCTCATCTCGCTTTACTGGCCGAAGGAGCCAACGTACAGCTTCTGGGCCCTGTGGCCAGCATGACTAAGCCGCTTCTGGTGAACAGAGCAGCACAGGGAAATGCCATTTACCTTCCCGCCGGAGCAGCACCTATTTATCTACTTGCACTTTAATGTGCTTTCGAACTGCTAGGTTGGCAGGAGCAGGGACCAAGCAATGGGAGCTCACCCCGTCGTGGCGATTCAAACCGCTGACCTTCTGAATGGCAAGCCCTAGGCTCTGTGGTTTAACCCACAGCGCCACCCACGTCCCTGAGGCTGATGGAAGTTGTAGTCAAAAACATCTAGAGGGCACCATGCTAGGTGGGAGTTATAGGGGGCATCCCATAATTCTACAGTTTGACAGATAGAAAGAACTCTGGCATTTTGCTAACCAGATGGAAGGTGTTGATCTCTATGTTTAGGAAGGTGACAGCCTGATGACTTTGTACTTGATACTGAGCCCCAATCCTGAAAGCATTTACAAAAATGTACATTATTCAAAACACCAGACTAGGATTACAATACACATGCTTGATGTACATCTTCCTCAAGTACTTATTTCATTTTAAAAAATCATTTTGTTTTATAATTTTCTGACCCATAGCTTTTGGACAACCTTCCTGAAATCACATGGATATAACATGGAGCTTACTCAGGTCAGTGAGACTTACTTCCAAGTAAGCATTGTTGGGAACACTGCTTAAGAAGACTGCCAGTTTTTATTTTCATTTTTACTAGCTCTGCTTCTGTTTCTTTAACAGTGCCTGGCATGCTGTGAAACTTTTCCTGGCGTGGGAATAAAGTTTTTTTTAAAAAAAAAAACATACAAAACAAAAAACTGCACCCTTAAATTTTGTATGTCAAGTTACAGCAGAGAAAGAGAGAGATGTTTCATAGCAATGTGTGAACTGGAGGTAAGAGTTGTGACATTAATGTGGTTATTGCAGTAACCTTTGGAAAAGGTAACTATGACACTTATGCAATCATATTCCATACACAACTGACTTGGTTGTCTGAAGGGAGGGGGAAATCCCAGTGGAAATGGGTTGCCCCACATCGGAGGGAGGGGGGGGAAATGACACGGCTCCTTCACTTAAAATTGTGTAAGGAATAGGATCTCAGGATGCGATCTGCCCACCCCACAACCTACTAATCATTCGCTTTAAGTGAAAATCCAGCAACCCTATATAAAGCCTCTGTTTATGTCTCCCTGCTACTTCCTAGTCCTAAGCACTGGGAAGAACCACATTATTTCATCTTTATTTTCCTTATGTCTTGTAATAATTATAGCATGCTCTCCTTTTACTTTTTTTTAAAAAAAAGAAACTCCAAAGAGATTCTCCCTAAAGCAAGAAGGCCTGGTACATGGTTATTTCATTATTTCAATGAATACTTGCATGTAAGGTGAAGAACAGGGGAGGAGCACCTTCCAGCTATCAAAAGAATGTTTGCCAAGGCCACAAATGCCCCGTTTATAGGGATTCCAGACACAGTTGTTCTAATATGATACTACTGTCTCCCATATGAATTCCAATTCCTTCTCTCCCACGTGTGTCTGTTAACCACTGTGCTATAGTCATGAATTGTTAAGTTTAAAAGAAGGGCTCTAGAATTTATACTTATGAACTTAGCTATAATGGACTGAGGTATTAAAGACTTATTTTTAGTGCCTGCTGGCTTATTGCCAAGATACATGCTGCATATTTTCTGGAGGAACTTCAAATCATTTGCCTTTTTTAATGTTGCCTTAGGAATTTGCACCGGTGGAGTTCTAAAGCAATGGCTGCATTGCCATACTTGTTGGGACAGTACTCTAGTCCTCTGTAGAAAACTCTGGTTAGAAAAGAGACAGAGGAAAGAAAATGAAATAGGGAGATACCAGATAACTAGGTCCTGTGGCAGAAATACAAACAGGCCTGTTTTATATATGGCTTCAGAGCTGTTTTAATGGTGTCCTTCCTCTGCAGATTGCTGTCCTTTGATCCTGGAATATAATTTTAAACCAGTTCTCACCCATTCATTACCTTTTACTCTTCCCTTTTAAATATTATCTTCATCCGTGCTCCTAAGGATCGTAAAGTGTATGTTTTGCCTGTGGATACACCAGATAGAAAAAACAAAAGAAAACTCTGCTGGATTTGACCAAAAGTTTTATCTAGTCCAAAATCCCATTCTCATGACCAGCCAGATGCCTATGGGAAACCCTCAAACAGACCATGTGGACCACTGCACTTTCCCCATTTATGGTCCACAGCAACGGGCATTCACAGTACGGTGTCCATTTTGTATCACCGCAAGGGGGAAAGCGGTGGAGAGGATATTTTAAAAGGCATGATGCAATAACAAACAAAATGTAGTAACAAAACCATGACATTCCCAAGTAGTTTACATGTTTTATTATTCACTGTTATGTTTATCCTATTTGCCTCTTCCTCTTCAGATCTGAGGGTGGGATACATTATATTATTTTAGCCTCTGTGGTAGGTTACACTGTAGGATAATACCTTGCCAGAGGCCAGTCACACATTGAGAGAAACTTTGAACCTTCACAATTTCCTAAAATATGGATAGGGAACCTGTGGTCTATGGGTCTCCAACTTCCATCAGTCCCAGCCAGCAGAGTCAACGGCCAAGCCTGCCGAAGTTGTAGTCCAAGGGTACCTGTGGGCTCACCAGTTCCCCATCCTTCTCTTATCATTACACATAGCATTTCAGCCATTTTACCATGTTGTGGCCTATGTTGATATTGTGGTTTCAAGGCCTCATTTTGTAAGTAAGAGTCTCAGGAGGGGAATTACTTCCTGTTCCTGCCGTCCGAATATTTAACCTGCAGATTAAAAATGAGTTCATTTTTTAGGTCATAGCTTCAAACCAATACAATCATACCTCAGGTTAAATGTGCTTCAAGTTAAGTATTTTCGGATTGCGCTCCACGGCGAGCCAGAAGTAATGGAGCGCGTTACTTCCAGGTTTTGCTGCTCGCGTATGCACAGATGCTCAAAATGACGTCACACGCATGCGTAGAAGTGGCAAGATGCGACCCGCACACACGCAGACGCGCCGTCACATTTTACATTCTATTCAGGATGTGAATGGGGTTCCAGAACGGATCCCGTTCGCATCCAGAGATACCACTGTACAGACAATGACCCTTTCCATGATGCCATGTGAGTTGTCCAGATCGGCACATTAAAAATCACCATTCTCCTTCCCCGCCCCCTTCACTACCAGAGCCTCCAAGTGTCCCTATTTTCCAGGGACGTCCATGATTTAGAGAAGACATCCCAGTTTCTGATTTGATCCCAGAATGTCCCAGTTTTTCCTTAGGATGTCCCTTTTTTCATTGGAGAAATGTTGAAGGGAATGGTAGGATGTCCCTATTTTCATTGGAGAAATGTAGGATGTTATGGAGTTATCTGACCCCCGAGCTATCTGAAGGCAATACTGTATAGGGAAGGGTTTTTTTAAAATGTTTAATTATGTTTTTAAATATATTGGAAGCTGCCCAGAGTGGCTGGGGCAACCCAGTAAGATGTGTGGGGTATAAATAGTAAAATTATCATTATGGAATGGGGCGTCCCTATTTTCATCAGAGAAATTTTGGAGGGTATGTACCGTAGTACATACCCTCCAAAGGTACCCTCCAAAGAGGGCGTCAGCGGATTTTCTGGGCACATTTCGAAAGCCTGTAGCCTGGAACTGTTTTCATTTAAATACATTCCCCTCCTGCTTGCTGAAAGAAATCTGTGGAGATGGGACCAGCTTCTGTTTGAAATGCTTTGCCCTCTGGAGTTTTCTTTTTTTTAAACAAAGAATACAAAAACAGTCTCATGGGAATCTATATTTTACTCAGTTGAAAATATATTTCTTATCTACGTATGTAGGCTTGCACTGGTGAAAGCTTGGCAGGAAAAGAATGCGGCAGTATCTCTTTTTCTAATAATAATAATTCCCGATTCCCATGGATACTGTGTGAACAAAAACATTGTGTAAGCTTGGGCCTTTGTTTATATGCTCAGCTACTCTGAGATAACAGCTCCTAGACTTACTTCAGCCTCTGGCGCTTGACATGTTAAATGGTGAATCAAAACAGGACCAGGATAAGCACCTGGGTTGCCAGAGACCCAACAGAGCCCACCAGTGCTGACACTGGTGCCTGTTTGGGTGTCCTGCCCACCTGTTTCCCTACTCTCTGGTTTATCTGGAGGCAGATCAACTGATGGGTCAGGGTGGCACCAATGGCCACTTTCTCAGGAGCCCTTTGAAAACTGGAACCGGATAAACCAAACCAAACAAAGCAAAATGAGAACAGGAATCCAAACAAGGCCAGAATATTCACCTCAGCTAGCTCAATTGGTAGAGCAAAAGACTCTCAGTCTCAGGGTCGTGGGTTCAAACCCCATGTTGGGCAAAAGATTCCTGCATTGCAGGGGGTCGTGATCTCTTCCAACTTTCTAATTCTATGATTCTATGTAATGCACGTTATAACCAGAATTGAACACTGTTGTCGCCCTGATCAGACCTCTTTCCATGAACCTCTGTGGGCTAAAGAGACGGACAGAGGCAATGAGACACACCACACTTGGGGTCCATATGGTCCTCCTTAGACCTTCACACATTTAGCACAAAGGTCTGCAAAGGGATTCTAAGGGCATTCGATTGAATATACTTAATAATTTCACCATGGCTGGAAACTCTGATAAGAGAAGGATCCCTATCTCAGGGAAGTTGCTAAGGGTATTCAACAGAATGCACTTAGCAGCTTTGCAGACCTTTGCACTATGGTCTGTGCTGGGGCACTGGATCACTGGACACAGGGCTTGCGTTTGCAAACCACACCCATCCACTCTCTTGGCCCTTGGGCATTCATTCTGAACAGGGCTAGTAATTAAGACAGATCTCCATCAAATCAATGATAATTCAAAACTCAAACAATAGCCATCAAAAGCTATGCTGACTTGAGAAACACCTCCATTGAAGAACTGTTGCTTGCATGTGAAAGCCCTGTGTCAATATTATCAGTTTTTTCTTAGCCCTGTCCCCTGGAATCTTTTTAAATGGAAATTCCACTGGTTGAACCTCTGATCCTAGATATGCAAAAAACAAAACAAAAAAACCCCCTGTGAATTATGGCCTTCCCTCAAAGGGAAACAGGAATTGTAGTGAAGGTGGTTAGGGGATTAAGCAACTGCCCTGGCCTATGCAGCCTTTACTATTAGGTAGTAACTGGGGGCATATATTATCCCCATTCACAGCAGACAGAAGAGCCTGGAACCCCAACTTGCAGGAGACCAACCAAAATCTGTCTTAGGCAATCCTCTCACAATAATAAGTGAATTCTTTCTTTGGCTGCCTTTAAATTCATTCACAGAGATCTACTAGGTCTTTTGCATCATTCCATTTATTTATTTTAAAAAACCTCGCTTTTCAGGTTGCTTACCACACTTTGCTCTTCTGGTCATGCAAGAATCAGTCCTGCAAAAGACAGCCAGTATTTCAAGCCATGATGGTCAGTTTCAGCTGCCCAGCTGAGTTTTTCCAAATCAATAGAACAATCACGATGTTCACCTGTTAGCTTTCCAAGTGCCAGTAGTAAACAACATGCCATGCCAAATCATTTTTAATTTCTATGTGACTGGGAGGTGCTTTGGCAACAGCCAAATCAATAAATATCTGGAAAGACATGTATGCTAATACTATAGGCAGAAATAAGTTGAAGGGACAACGGGTCATGTTTTCAGAAACAAGTGTTGTTCAGTACATGCCATGTTACTGAGTGTTCATTGGAGGCTACACACACACACACACACACACACACACACACACACACATTCATTGTACCAGGTGAGAGACAGCTCATGACTGACCAATTTTCTTTCACCTACAGATATGTACATTTAAATCATTTGAAAAATGATACATTTTAAGGGCACAGAGGGGTGGCACAGTGGCATGGCTAGGGTGTGGAAGTTTGGCAACAAATAAATGGAAGGGATGAGACTTTAGTGGAGTCTGATTGGTGTGGGAGGGAAGCAGCAGCCTCAGCCCAGGGCTGGCCCATCCATGAAGCAAGGTGAGGCGACCGCCTCAGGCAGCAGGATCCACAGCGGCAGCAGATCTGGCCTCCAAGGAATGCATCCCCCACTGCTGCTGCCACACACTCCTTGGAAACCGGATCTGCCTCTTCCTCAGCAGTCCCTGCAATGCCACCTTTATAGTGGACTCCTGGTGAAAAGGTGGAACAGCTGGTCTCCTCCCAATCCTAGGAAGTAAATGGCAGGGGCTTCCTTTGGGGGATATCCTGGAGCCAGTACCCACCTGGCGCGTTTCAGAGTGGGCCCTTTCCCCTCCTGCAACAGCCTTTGATTCCCTTTTCATCATCATCAAACCTTTTATTGGCATCACATACAAACATCCATAGCAAGATTCCCATTTCAATGGTCAGGTAAAGTTGAATTGACCCACCACCACCGCCCCGCCACTACCTTGTTCCCAATGAAGATCTTCACCTCTTCCTCCCTTGCAAGGGGATGCCATCTTGTAGTTTGCCTCAGATGCCAAAATGTATTGGGCCAGCCCCGCATCAGCCCCTTGTATATTTACAACAGCATCAGCATTTGCTGCTGCTGCTTCTTACATAAACGGAGGCAAACAAAGCAACCAACTTTGCACAAATTGCTCAGAGCAGCATGCAAAATCCATGGTGGCAATGTCCAAACTCAACTGGACATTTGCGATGTCCTGCTGCTTTTGTAAGGCAGGCGCTCTCTGTCGCTGGTGTTATCTGCAGACTTCATAGTTTCTTCTAAGTTACCTGCGCTAATCACACGAAATCTGAAGGCACAAGAACTTAATGGAGTTGTCAGAACTGAAGATTATGCAAGGGAGTAAAGCGCTGGCTCATCAGTCAATGTTAGTCAACCCTAAAGCATTTGAACCAAACTGGAAACTGAAGTGAGTAATTTTTGTGAACTATGAAGAGAAGCTCAGCTCAGCATCCTGTCCCAGGATAACAACCAACCGCACAGGGCAGTAGTCACTCATGCAAGAGTATTCCCAATCCATAGAAAGCTACAATTAATATGATCAAGCTAGTCCTGCTGTACCAGGGCTGTACTGATGTCCTATCATTGCATTCCTGCAACCTCACAACAGCGCTATAACTCCAATAAAAGCCAGCTCAGCCATACTTGAAAAGCAGCTATACAGAGTCCCTGGTAACTTCCATGTTCAATGAGATGCTTCCCCATTAGCATTTGTTGAAGAAAGGCCATTAATTAGAATCCTGTCCTCCAATGTGGCCGGCCTGCCACCCTGGGCTCTGCTACTCACTGCATTGAGGATTTTAATTTTATTTTTTGCTTATACTGCCTCTTTCCTTTTAGCATTTCTGTGCACCATCATCAAGGGAAATGACAACTTCTCAGCTTTTGGGGGTGGGGGCGTTCCTTTTCCTTTGTGGGCAATTTTCCAAGGGACACATGCCAGGGTGGGAAGAGCCAAAGGCAAAAAGTAGATGTAGCAACAAATGTAATTTTTTTCTTTTGTACCTTAGGCTAGTTTGTACACACACCCCTCTGTATTCTCCATCCAGGCAAACAAGGAGCGTTATCAGTGTCCAAGGACACATTCCTAACTATGAAAGAAGACTAAAGCAGGGACATTGAGGGCTGGGGCCTGTAAAGAGGCTGTGTGGCCTGGGGGAATTCTGAATGCCAAATAGAGAGGCCTGGGAGTTTGTATTCAGCCCTAAGGCCTGAGATTCCCCACCCTGTTCTAAGCAAACAGGATTCTGGCTATGATTCTCTCATTCCACCACATCCAAACTCTGTCCTCTTCTTTGCCCCTTGTGCTTAGAATTGGATACTGGTGGCCATAAACTCATTGCACCAGGATTAAATGTTGCTCTGCCAGTGCAATGTATCTATTTATCCTGCCCGCCAACCTCAACCAAGAATGGGAACACATTTTTAGTTGCAATGCTAACCCATTTACTTGGAAGTAAGTCCCATTTAATTCAAGTAGACATGGTGAGGCTTGAAGTGTTAACTGTATTGATCTTAGAGTTCAGAGTAACTTTTTTTAAAAAAAAACTTTAAATAAGTATATCAAAATACACAAGTTTCAACTACCCTCAGTCTACGTACAGGTATGCAAGGTACTTGATTGAGATGTACAAAAACTACAGGCACAGCAGAGCTGGAAGAGGTACAAAACAATTTTTTGAAAAATCATTAGAAGGGGACACAACTCCCTCAAAGCAGGCCCTAAATGAGGACTGAGTATGCCACACAATTCTGACCAAATGTTGGGGGTGTGCAAGAAATTCAGGGAGAGAATTGGAATGGGATAGCTGGAATCTTGAAGAGCGCATCCCACACTACAAGGTTTTGGGGCAGCTCCTTGAAAGTGTCGTATTGGCCTTCAGCAATTATATGAGCCGAGCTTTCTTTGTGCTAGTTTCTGCATTGCTTCTAATGCTTTGGTTTGCAAAACTGTGATTTTCCTTCCGAAAGTTGTTGAGCATGGTTGTCCTTCCAGTATGCACAGCATTAGGCTTAACTTTAAAGTTATGGGAATGTTTTTGATATCAATAGGACAACTCCAGCATGAAGAGCATAAGAGCCTGCTGGATTGGACCAAAGACCCATTTAGTCCCACACTGTATTCTCACAGTGGCCAACCAAGAAGCCTGTAAGAAAGACCTGGGTGTAATTGCATTATTATTATTATTATTATTATTATTATTATTACACCTCAAGGTGGTGTACATGGTTCTTCTCCATCTCCATTTGACTCTTACAACCACCCTGTGAGGTTAGGCTGAGAGATTTGACTGGCCTATGGTCCCAAAGCAAGCTTCACGAGCAGGAATTTGAACTCTGGTCTCCAAGGTCCTAGCCTGACACTCTAACCACTACACCACACTAGCTCTCACACCTGTGATCCCTGGTAACTGGTATTCAGAGGCATACTGCCTCACATTAGTAGAAAGTAGCCATTGTGGCTTGTAGCCACTAGCTGCTTCCATGTTCTTTGCTGAGGCTTGCACTCTGACTCAAGCCATGCAGGATGCAAATACTGAACACAAAAAACCAAGAGTCTAGAGGAGGGTGGGAGATGGCAAGAGTGACAGCTGAGTTCTGAGTCATGTGTGTATGAATTGCATAAAGAAATAGCTATGAAGATGAATGGTTTGAAGAGCTATGCCTAAGATGCTGCTCTGGCCCCTATGCATGAGAAGCAGTATCCCATATGCTACCGGGGAGGCCTTCTGGCATGTTTTGCAAAAGAGCGGACACGACAGACTATTTCAGCACCAAAGGAGCTGTTAGATACGTCCTGTCTGTGAACTCAGAAGGATCTGTACAACAGACTGTCACAGGCTCAGATGCCAGGCTGCTTTAGAGGTCTTTAAAGGTGTATTTGCAGGCAAAGTGACCACTTCAAAGCAGAATTGCCTTCTTCTGCAGCTGTTTAAAAGAAGGACGTGAAAGAGCAGCAGGATCCAATGTGTGGCAAATGAACCAAGGCTCACCAATTCAAGATCAAAGCTGTCCCTGTGTCCTTAATTGAACTTTCAGTGCCCTAGGATTTCAGCAGCTTCATCTCAGTTGGTGATCTTATGTACCAAAGGCAGCACAGTAGCTGACAACAAGGATACAAATTCTCCCTTTGCACAACTTAACCAGTTTCAGTTGGGTTACACATCCCATGTAAAATGGACTCTGGCGATGAGTCAAAGGCAGTGTGTCGCCTCAGATTTCTAAATCCTTTGCTACAATGTCACTTCAGTGTTAATGATCTGCAGCTGATTGCAATTTCCTGTTGGTTAAAACATCTGGTTGATTTGAAGGTAAGTTGCGGTGAATAACTGACACGAAACTTAAATGATGGAAGAAAGCACGAAGCAGTTGCTTGCTTAGATATCCATCTCCTACTAAAACTGACTGACCTACATTTCTATATATTGCACACTGGTTTGGTGGGAAATCAAAATATTTTCAGGATAATGTCTCCACACCTGGTCATGCCACTGGTCAGTGTTTTTGCTTATCTAGATTGTCTTTCTACTAGCCTAGGAAATGCATACCAGGAGAGATATGCATAATCCATGGTTGATTGTCTCAAGTGGCAAGAGACTGCTTAGAAGTTTGGACAGTGTGTAGCAAAGCAGCGAAATGGGAACAGAAGTTCAGCCTTCGCTGTCAATCTGGAAGCTGAGAGTTATGTGGAGACGCAAATATCTTCTTGCTAATTCTGCCTTCAGGGCCCTATATTGTTGTGTCATATTAAGAAGGGGGAAAGGTAGAAGTGCAAAGCGGATGGAGTCTGCAAAACATTCTGTGATACTGCAGTGTGTTGTATGCTCCAGCGGGAAATCAAGGCTGTCATAAGGCACAGATGTTTTGGTTTAGATAAACTCTTGTTCAGATCCCAAACCTGTACACAATTGTTTGAGGAAAGTGCACAGCAGAACCAAGTGAATAATTAATGGAGAATATTTAATCTTGCCTATTTAAGTCATGCAAAATAATTGTAGGAAGTGCTTCCGTTTTAAAAAAACATACCTCAAGGAGGTTGTCTAAGCCAATAACTGTGCAGTTATGCGAAACCATTGATATAACATAAAGAAGAAAATAAAAGCCCACAACAAAAGTGAGGCAGAGAAAATAGGTTTGGCATATATACAATTGCATTTCCTGAGATCAAAACTTATAAAGGCAGTGGAAGGCAGAATGGCCAGCTTATCATATGAGCAAACATCATATCGCCATTGTATTTTTAATATAGTTGCTGAAACTCAGTTGGTGGTTAAATCAATGTAATCAACCTATGGGAACCTCAAACATTAACAATAGCAATAATCTGTATTTATGTAGTGCATAATAATAATCTAGTTTCAAGTCCCTGGGGTGTTTCACGTTTTCTCAGTATTTCTTAGCTATAGTAGATCTGTAAGGCAGCCAAATATTGCCATCACCTCTTCATCAGGGAGGCAAAGGCTGAGAGACAGAGAACACAGTTTGCCTGGCTACCTAGAGAGTTGGTGGCAGCAATTTAAGCCAGGACTCCCAGCTCACTCTTGCATCCTGATATTACAGCCCAGCAATGCCACTGCTGAGCCGGTGTTATGTAGTCATGATCCTATGCTTTCCCAGCAGCAAAATCAAAAGCAATGAAAATTAACATAACATTGACCATTAGTCCCATAGTGTCCTTGTCAATGCTGCCACTCACCAAACACTATTTTGCTTACTGTTGGTGGTCCTGTATGGTGGCTCTGCAGGGAAGTCAGGCATCAGCACATGACTATGATCAGAACATCATGATGAGGAACTGATTTCCAATAATGGTGTTCGGTTTGTCCCTTTGGAATGTGAACCAGTATGCAACATAGGACATCATCTGTGTACTATCCTCAAGCTAATGGGGAGATTTAAAGGTTTAAGAGAAGTTTGAATGAGAGTTTGCAGACAGCTGAATTAGAAGGGAAAGCATGGAACCTTAGTGATTTGTGGGTTTTTGCAGGTATAAATTGCTGCACAGCATGCAACACAGATCGCCTGTAGAATTATTGCATGGGGGGACGGGGACCTGTACACTAAATTGAATTTGGCCCGGATATTAAAATGTAAGCCCGATATATCTTTAGAAACTGATACAGGGGAAACAATTGAGAGAAAACACACAAAAGAAATGTAAAGTGTATACAAATAGATGTCATGGTGCTGAGGAACAAAGGGAAAACGAATGCAGCTCTTCTGTTTGAGTTAGGAAAGCTGAGATTCTGCAGAAGGGACTATATAGACTTAATAGCCCCTCATAAAGTTTTTGGAAGAAGAGGATCTATACTTATAAACTTTCTGATGGACATGTATGGAATGCTTCTTCTCTTGCTCCATTAGAGCCAGAAATAATCTACATATTTGAAATAATCTAGATATTTGGTCTCTGTTAGAGGAGTTCATCTTGTTCCTTGGCATTGAAGGCTACATCAGAAGCTGGCCTTGAACGACCAGAGACTATGGCGGCACCAGAAAAATAAATTTGGGCCAGTGGTGTGCAGAGTGGCGGCAGAATATATTTCTCAATGGGCAAGTTGTGTCCCACAGGTTAAGATCTCTGACAGGAAAATAACAGTATATATGTTAATGGCAGGGTTCCAGCAATGGGTGAGACAAGTGGGGGAGAGCTTTTTGCTTACAGAACCCCAAACAAAATGGCGTGGGATAAAAGGTTGTCCAGTTTCTTCAGCGTAGCCTCGTTGGCTTCAACCTCGCACAGCTGTACTAACATTGTATTTGTGGTTGACAGCCTCAGATTGTGGCTCCATCCTTTATTAATGAACAGATCCTAATTACTCATTCTGTCAGTGTTTTAAAGTGTTCGCTTCTGTGACAGGCTTCGCTTGGTAGGAGAATTTCCCCCTTCAGTCAGAAAGCGAAGGAGCTGACGGAGGTAATGAGACCCGACAGTTGGCGCCCGGGGCTTTTCTTGGGGCCTGTTTTCTGCCTCAAGTGGTGCAATAAAAGGGACACGGCTGAAGGCTAAGTAACATCCACCAGACAAGAAATATAATATTGCCTGGCACTGCTCTTCTTACTATCTTATCACAGTTATGTAACACAACTAGGCTTTAAAAAATAATAAAAGCAGGGAAAATGCCAGTGCTGTATGAATGCTGATGATCGCTGACAGCAGCTCATCCATATGATGGGGCCCATGTGCTTTTCTGTTATAGCACAGATTACAATGTTAAAGTGCAGGATGCTTTTGGGGTTATTTTTTACATGGGTTCAAGAATTTGTGACAGTCATATATGATATTTAAATGGAGATATACAGCTACCCTGGCATGAATCGTTTCTTTATACCGCTCCCTCACTCCAAGCTCACAGCATAGCTTAGCCACCATGTGTCCAGTTCATTTTCTCCATCAAGCAACAACATAGGCCTGCCTGGGATAGCTCAATTCGTAGAGAGCATGAGGCTCTTAAACCCAGGGTCGTGGGTTTGAGCCCCGCATTGGACAAAATAATCCTGCGTTGCAGGGGGTGGAGTAGATGACTCTCCTGGTTCCTTCCAGCTCTATGATTCTATTATCTTCCCTCCTGTTCCCTTGTGACAAACCCATTTGTGAATTTTCCTGTCATTCTCCAGTAATTTAAAAAAAGTTTCAGCAATGTTATTTGCATGAAAAGTGTAAGTGAGCTCAATAATGGGTCCCACTTACACTTTTCTGGTTTATTTGCCCTTGCTCCAAAGCCACATGGGGTGGATATTTATTTTAAACAACTTAATGCTTGGAAAAAATAACAACATGTTTATCCTACAGTCTAGCGGGCTCACAGCAATGACCTTTATTGAGCATTCATCTTGAATTGTTTGTGAGGTGTCGTTTTTTCTACATCTTCCCACTAATCTTTTGTTCACTTTTCAGTGCATTTCCCATCCCTGTGCTGACTTCTTTTTTTAAAGTGGACTGATTGTGCAAGAGCAACAGAGCTCTTGAATCGCACCTAAATTTCTGGCATGTGCTTGAATCCCTCTGGCAAAAAACTGACAGTCTGGGGGCAACCAAAGTTAGAATGTGACACAGCTATTGTGTGATGAGGTGCCACTTAGCCCAGCAACCTCTAGGCTAGTTGGTGAATTGTTCCCTCGGAACAATGGCGGGGGGGGGGGATTTCAAACACAATATGCTGGTGCATACAAAATGGAAAATTCTGCCCACACACTTACCTACTTTCTGGAGTCTACTCTGCCTCCGAAATCAAGAAACTCAGGTTGAGATATTGACATATGACTCAAACAACAGGGTGATTTAGTCATGTGCAGTGGCAATTAAAGAGAGAACGTGGATGGCTGGGCAGAGGGACTGACCTTTAAACGTGGAGTGCCAATTAAATGGAGAGATTCACTCAAATCTTTAACATAATGTACCAAAAGAGACCTTTATTAAGAAAATGTGCCATATGCACTTATTGCTGTCAGAACAGAAGGAAGAGTTGGAGTAAGGCACAGAACCCTTCTTCATTCTTCAGGGAGGAGGGGCAGAATAGATTGGCTTTCAGCTCATTGGAATTGATTTATTAATGACTACTTCATTAAGATGTTTTGCTTCTCTGCCAGGACTGGGCCAAGCATGAGCCAGAGTGAGGTGGCCACCTCAGGCATCTGATTTGGGGTGTCATGAAAGTGCAGCAAATGGTTAGCTATTTAATTTATGGTTATTGGGTGTGTGTTTTTTTAGTTCCAGAGAGAGGGAGAGGTGCTTGTAAGATTTTCTACTTCAGCCGCCAAAAATAGCTTGGCTGGCCTTGGGTGCTGTGTACTTCCTGACTTGGGAGATAGAGCACCATTGGCTGCTCTGCCTCAGGCAACAAAATGTCTTTGGCTGGCTCTGTTCATTTCAGTCATTATTGGAGATCTGTAATAACTTTTCTGTATTGATTTCCCATTCATACCCTAATTCATTCATAAATCCTAGTTACACTCTCACAGATACCATTCCCCACTCCATAAGCACAACACTGACAACCGTATACCATCCAGACAATAGCTGATCTTTTCTCTGCATCCCTTCTCACCAGAAATAACTCCAAAGGCTGACAGATGCTCCCCCACACCATTTTCTCCCCATCCTTCCATTTATTCCCCCAGTTTTCAGTCACAGTATACAAAAGTCCTATACAGGATGGATTAAATCTTTTCTTCCCCTAATAATAATCTTTGTCCCCTCTTTGCTACCCCAAACTAATTTTCCTGTAGTCGCATCTGCCTCTCAACCAACATTACATAAGCCTCTTCTGTAGGCTTTTTGTGCTAGTATTTTATCCACTTAGCAGCTGGACAGCTCAATAGAATGTCATCACACTATAGCAGTTCAGCCTTAGGCTAGGGTTAAAAATCACATTATGCAGAAGATTTGCAACTGGATCTCAAAAAGTTTGTTTTTGTGCAGTAATGGAAGGCTCTAAATTTAACTGGAGCAGTGGTTCTAGGGATGGGGATGTTTGTCACTTTCCTTATCTAAATTATCCCCTTTTCAAATCTGTTATCAGACCCAGGGGGTGGGCAATATAAGTGCATCTGTTTCTCCCTGCAGAAATAATAGGTTTCAGGAGGTGTTTTTCAGATCAGAAAATTGGAGCAGTGGGAGAAAGGGTTAAGTACCTCATCCTGCAGTTCCACGCCTCTGCTCAAACCTCTCCCACCCACTCCCCAAGACACTAGCAAAATACAGCACAAACAAATGTCAGGAGATCTAGTTATGGGTCCCCCATGTCATATGTTGTTTGGCTGTAAAAGGAACCTATTGCAATATGGTGGAGCCAGTGTTCTTGTACCCAATACCTAGGGGGTTTTGAAGACTGCATAGGTTGGTTTTGGGTGGTGGGTTTTTTGTTGTTGTTTTTTAAATTGCTTATACACACAAACAAAAATATTTGTATGTTTTGTGCTCTGGTGTGACATCACATTCATAGCTCTGATGGCAATAAATGTCCCAACAGCTCACCAAAGGCTGTCTTTGTTTTTGCTATTATTATATAAACAGACTGGAGGATTTCAAGTAGTTCTCAAGCCACATATTCTTGAAAGCTCCATATCTAAGATAGTTGCAAAATATCTATATGAAACATTTTTCCATGTAAGAATAGGTATGAATGCACATTCTGAAAAATGTCAACAAATCAGAGCTTCCCAGCTCAAGAATACATTGCAATACGCATGTGCAATTGTTGCACGTGGCGATCAGTAAGTTGCTAATCCGATGGAGAAGTTGGGAAGCGCTTTCCAATGCATGCGGTCAGAAGCAGTATGCTTCTGAAGAATGGTTGCTGGAACCTGAAGAAGGCAAGAGTGCCGTGTTGCTGGTTTGAACTTATATGTTGTACTCTTGGTTGTGAACCACCCTGAGACCTCCAGGTATAGGCCGGTGTATAAATTGAATTAATAATAATAATAATAATAAATTGCTCAGGTTCTGCTTTCAGGCTTCCTGTAGGCATCTAGTTCAAAGAATTATAGAGGTAGAAGGTGCACCAAGGCTCATCTAGTCCAACCCGCTGCAATGAAGGAATCTCAGCTAAAGCATCCATGACAGATAGCCATCCAGCCTCTGCTTTAAAACCTCCAAGGAAGGAGGCCACTGTGGGAACAGGATGCTGGACTTGATGGGCCACTGGCCTGATCCAGAGGCTCTTCTGTTCATATGTCTGGCCCTAGTTTTCAGAAACTGTCTATCAAGTGTAATAAATGAAATCCTGCCCTTTTTCCCTTATGGGGAACACAAGAGCCCTTATAGAGTCCTTTGCAGGTTCTCCATCAGTCGGAGAAAATAACAGGCCAACCAGAGAATATTGAGAAGCAAAGCAGCTAGTAAGCCTGATCCTTATTGAACTGTTGCAACAGGGTGCCCCCTCACACGCAGGAAAGGAGGAGGACCCTGAACAAAGGTGTACCTGCCCTTATATAGACATTTTAAATTGCCCGCCCTGGAGTCCAAGACCACCCCCATAAACATCATACATACATCGCAAGAAGGGGTGTAGCTCAAGACCACCCCTCAGATACATCATACCTACATCACCGAAAGGGCAGTCTACAACAGAAATCTGAGTGCGTTGTTTATCTCCTGTCTGGCAGACCTGTTAATGGCCACTTGATTGGATACCCTGGGGAGCCTGGCCAGTCTTTTGTAATGATAAATACTTAGTTCCTGGCCAGGTCACCGGCTCACCCTATTCATACACAGACATACCCTTAAGACAGGATTTGTGAAGGAAAAGACAATGGGGAGGCTTTTCCATTTTCCTTCGACCTTGCAGAGAAAACATTTGGTCAGTTTGGGAGTCAAAATGGTTTCAGGGCTGTTTTCCTGTGCTGCTTCAGACATGTGGTTTATATATTTATGTACGTGTTTGCTTGGTACATTTATGAACATTTATTATATATATATAAGACCTTAAATTTTTTATTTCAATAGGTTCATTGCCATTTTTCTATTGTTTTCCCCTTGATCAAAGGGCTTCGGTTACATGGCAAGGGAGACCCAAAGCTGCTGAAATAGTGTTGTTAGCTTGAAGTAAGGAATTCCAGAGCACTTCAGTTCTGCTCCTTTGCGAGCGCAGGAGTGTCAAGCCGTCTTCTCCCACCCCCTCCCCCACACGGATGTGCGCAACCCCCCTCCCCAATTGAATGGAAACAATGAACAGTGCAAACAAAACAGCAGGGATATTTTGGGACTGGAGTCAGGAAGAAATAATCACCAACAGAGACTAGTAATTTTACATGAATTGCTGTTTTGTGTTGAAGAACACCTGGCGTCCTGGCTAACCCGCAGGCATATATTAACAGCATTTAAATGATAATCAAGTTTTTGTCTTTATTATTCAAAGATATAGTAGATTATTACATCTACTGGCATACCAACAATGCAATTATGGTGTGGCTTGCTTCATGTTTTGCTTTCTAGGTAAGATTGAAAAATTGAAGTAAGTGATGGTTTTTAAAAACACAAAAACACACACACAAAAAGCAGAGTTAAAAATAAGCCAAACTCCCACTCAGCTCAGAATAGGAAAAAACCCCTCTATATTAGATCGGGGGGGGGGGGGGACATTATAAGCAAGTATTTCAGTTCAGGAATATGTGTATCATCATAATTAATATAGCATATTTTAAGTCATTCTTTTGCTCATAATCCATTTGTGTTAAGCTTAACTGAGAGTCAATTCAATTTTTTTTAAAGCATTGTAGGCCCTTTAATGGCTTCTGGCTTTGAAGTTTTTTTCTATAAAAAAATCTGTTATATATTTTAAAAAACTTTGACATGTAAATTTGAAAATCAAATAAATACTGTATAAGATTACATATTTATATTTTATAATGTACACATTATAAAATTTACACAGATTCTCTGAGGAATATGATTATTCCCATTTTACAGATGAAGAAATGTAAGTCGAAACATGGTCACACCGAAAGCCTATGATGATTTTGTTATTATAACTACATTGTTGTCTTGCC